TTTAAATTTTGATCTGTACACATTTAGGCCCAGCAGATCAGTTTAAGAAGTGGGTAAATAAGGAATGCAAAATAAGAGCCTGTTAAATCAATATTTACACTACCTGGGTGCTTCACATTCACCAGAGTCATTAAACAAAAGCAAATGGAAACCAGGATGGACTACTGTGGTTCAGGAGGATGCCTTTTGGTTCAAAGCAAAACATCCTGGAATTAAAGAAAAAAAAGTCAAAGCCCACTTTGCTCTTTTGGTAGTTTACCATTTCAATAAGTCAAGACTCATTTCAAGACTATTTCTTAACATATTCTAGATTGTACATCTCTTTGCAGAATAATTTTATATTCTCTGTCCAAAACCTGTTTCAATTTCCAATTGTGATCCTCCTTGTTTGTTCAATTCCTAAGTGTAAAATAGTCTCCAAGCTTGCCTATAACCCTGAGGATTTTATATCTTTTATCGAATCCCCTCTCACCTCTCAATCAAACAAGTTTAAAAAATACATTTCTAGTTAAGGCCCTTTCCTTTCGAGTCTTGTGGGTAAGGAACTGCAAGGCCATTCAAACAGAAGGACCCTGCTAATGCTTCCATTCATTGTAAATGAGAATATGTTCTCACTTCAGTCCTGCATTTAAGAACTAAATAAATTACTCCCTTAATGTAACATGCTCCAAGTTAAATGTTATGTGGCAAATAAAGTTTTATACAAAACTCACATAGCTGGAAAAGACTGAGGAGATCTGAGTATAATTAACCTGTAAAATAAATCAGCCATGCAGACAAATGTGTATACAAACTGTACAGCTGGTTGGATATTTATCTAAGGGGAAAGAAATGAGCCACAAACAAAATTCCATTAGAGAAACAGAACATGCTTCTTCTCACCTTGAATTTAGCAAAAATACTCATCAGCACAAATAATCATCTTGGTTCTAACACCAGCCAGACACAGCCGGTTTGACTAAACCACTTGTGTAATTGTGTGACAGTACAGTATGGTCACTGGGACCCAGGATTGGGCTGTTCAGTAGTAATAATTAAAGGTCAAAACACTATGAGGCATTTTTTCTCATGCCTGTCGAAGTTTGAGGCACACAAACATGTCTGAGACAAAAACAAATCCTTTTAAATCCTCTCGGCCATAATGCTTCCAGCCAATGGCTGGGCCCAGGCTTTTTTCAGAACTGATCAGTGTTTGTGCTTCTACCAATCTGGCCAACTTGGTACCAGTAATGAAAGAACAGAGGTTTAAAAGCCAGTCACAAGTTTAAAATATTCTTCAAAGCACTCCATACTAGCTAGCCTTTACACTGGAGCTAGAATTGTATTGCAGCATGACCACAACACTAGATTCTAGTATGCCTGCTGCAAGGACTATCTATTTAATCTGTGGAACATTTCCAGAGCTGTTGCCTTCAACAGTAGTCCTGCCTATGGGACAATTTAAACTCAAACACCACTCTACTTAAGACTGTTTACACTGACTGCATTCCCCTCTCAAGAGACGAATTTGATCGCTAATCAGTTCTCCTTTTTTTGTCAATTCCATGAAGCTTTGCAGAAATAAACAGTAAACATTTCACATCATGTCAAACCGTGTCAAAACTCACATTTACGCTCCTTTACCCAGGTGGGGCTGCACATTGGTGGTGGTGAAGGGGATCCCCATTACCTGTAAAACGCTTTGAGTGGAGTGTCCAGAAAAGTGCTATATACGTGTAAGCAATTATTATTTCCAACCCTTCTTAATAAGGACAATAGCTTCTAATGTATCCCCAAAGGTTTTTTTAAAGGCAATATGGACTAACAATGCTTCAAAAACCCATATGAGCTTCAAACCCAACAACATCCTTCAACAACCAAGCTTATAAAAAAGCAGACACCTGAGCACATGGCACAATCCAAGGTCCTTCAACTACTTCTACTTTAATTTAACCCTAAGAGGGAATCAGACAGAGAACCTTAGTTCTTTGTCACTTTCAGTAAGTGATGAATCATATTTAGCTAAAGACTCTCAC